CTATTATCAACGCTTTCCATTCGAATGTTTGTATTATATGTTCTCGCTCTCATTAGCTTGGGAGTCTTACCTCAGTAGTTGTAATTGAATGAGGTTTTAGTTGGACATTTCTTATGCAATTTAACAAGACAGTGTATAATGAAGAAAAAAGGCGTTTATACTGCTCAAGTACTTAATAATATATAATCATAACCTCTACAATGAAAAATAATAAGGGTAACTATAACTGTATGCTGATTTTAGGTTTGTGAAAGACAATAATTTAAAATAAAGTTCAATTTTTATATAAATGCAGTTGCTGCTTGGATAATGCGCCCACAGACAACTTATAACAACAAAAGAATTACTTTTTATTATTTCAATTATTATACCAAAACAGGGGGAGATTGGTAATAACTGATACACCACTTAAAAGGCATTATGCAAAAGCAGATGAAACACATTACTTCTCATATTGCACCCAATTAATACATCAGATTCCTGAATGAAAACAATAAAAGAAAGTAGGACTCCTGCTTGGTAGCTGTTTTTTTACACTATAGGTTTTCATACACAATTGGGGAAAAATTGGTGTGTGCTATATGTCCATCTTTGAATTCAGTGTCACACCATGTATTCTTCTATTTTTGTCTCTGTCTAGTTGTTGTACCGTGAGTGGCCCATTCTGACACCCACTCCCCTGCTCACTTTTTCCACCCTCCATCACATCATCCTTCCTTCCATCCATCCGTCTCCTCTCGCTCTCATTTCATCCCGGTTCAGAGGATTAGTGTAAAACAGGCACAGCCGTCGCCACCCGCCTCCATCGCAACCGTCCTTTGTTTTCCTGGAGTCTTATTCTGGGTGCCATTCTTAGGCACTCTGGACCCCCCTCTTCCACCCCCACCCCCTCACCCCGTGTTCTATCTTGCTGATGCAGACCTTTCGTAATCTGTGCAAAATAAATAAAAAAAGAAATCCCAGGCCCTCGTTGACTGTTTTACACCCTCCTCATTTTTCTATATTCGCAACCCCCCCTTCTCTCTCTCCACTCCTCCCCTCTCACCCTCTCTGTTCTCTTGAATTTTTCTTTTTCGATAAAAGGAATTCAGGGGGCTTTTGACAAATCCTGGAGTCTGGCTGGTCTTCCTGCAATTTTTGGGAACGGTTGAGTCGTGCTTCTTGTAAAGAGGATGTGGCGGAGGAGCGGTGTTTCCTGACTGATAAGGGAAAAGCCTCTCTCCGTCAGGATGTTTGGGCCTGGCTGGGCCCTGCATTAAAGAGCCGAGAGAGGGAAGGGAACCCACTGTTCAGCAAGCAGGAGGAAACACTGGCGTGCTGATTAGCATCTTACTTACCCGTCTTTACTTACCCACCATTTTTCATGAGAGGCTTTGTCAACCTGGCCTGTTGTACCTTGACCACAGACACAGCGCAAAACATCCACACAGCAATGAGCAGGTTTCTTAATCTGAAACCAAAACAAAATGCTTGTTGTGAACATGTACCAAAAATGTCTTTTCTCTGTACCCATTTTCACCCATGATCGTGTGCTTTTGACACACCTCGCTGTGAATGTGATTAAACTGACCAGAATGACAACATTCATCAAGTGCCAGTGTTTGCAGCTGCCCGATGCTGTGCTCATTTCTTCGGGGTTAGATCATTACCCTTTGTGCCTGCAGGGGTTCAAAACTCGGCGGAGGGTCCATTTGAGTGTGACCATATTTTGGTTGCGGTAGCCGGACGGTGGTGCCCCAGGCCTGAGAGTTGTCAGGGTTAGCTCATAGTGCTGCTGCAGACTCCCCCTGGTAAAGATGCCCTGCAATGTCTCAACAATCACATCCACCTCCTCAGGGTAGGACACTGTAACACAGACAAGGACAAAGACTCCAGCGTCAACAAAGCTTCGTCAACTTAGACTAGTACACACAAGAAGATTGTACTTGAGCAGATATTTGCAGAATAAAGCAGTGTTTTTGTCATTACATCATATTAATCCTATATCTTTCATATTTGAATAGTATTTCACGTCCAAAGGACTCCAAAAATCATTATGACAGGCAAATAATAAATATACCAGAAAGATAAAATGCAGTGAAATGTCACATAAAAACAATGTATCACCAAAATGTCAACTTTTCATGGGCTAACAAAACCCAGTCCTGTTCTCAGCTTGAATAATTGAATGTTTTTTTAAACAGTTTATTTAGCAGACATGTAGGAGAATTTTCTTAAACCATAAAAGGAACACCAAATCAAATCACCAAAACTGGAGATAGATAGTTTTTACTGGACAGCGAACACAGTCAAGATCAAATGACAAATATATGTTACATAATTATACAGAGCCAATTCATTAAAGGTGTGATATATATTTCCTACCAAAATAATATATAATGCTGCTATTTCTTTTATTTATTTATTTTTTACATGTGATCAAATTTCACCTATCAAGCCTCTGCAGTGATAAATAAACAACATTTGGTGTCTGAACTTAAGTATACAGTAGTTTTCAATTACAAACTAATATGTATTGATCACTCCTGTGGATAATGACACTCTTCTATGATTAGTGCACCAAAATTTTCTGTGAAATGCCCAGAGGAGCTCTAAAGAACAAGAAAAGCTACAGAGAATTGTGGATCCTGTGACTTTTACGTTTTCGTAAAGTGAGGGCAAAACAATCAGCTTGTCAGTCTCACTTCTTTCCTCCTTGCAAAATGACTCATCGTCATCCTAACCTTTAGTCAGAGACTTCTGCTGAAAACTTGAGAAAGCCATCGCTGGTGTTTTCGCTGCAATAAATCAACAAGAGAGGAAAGATAAAATAACGTGTCAACAAACCGAGGCATGACACTGTGGTGAACTGCATAAACTTTACACTTTGCTGTCTTTCACAGATTTGTTTGTAAGGCCCCCTCTTGTGTGAGAGGGAAGTGCATAATCAGTTTAATTTGACTAATTGAACCTTTCACACACTTACCAGATCACCAGATTTACAATATTTGCGAATATAAGGATATAGGCTGAACAAACAAAAGAGCCTGCTCTTGTTATTTCTCTCTGATTGCTGACTGGCTCTGTTCCAGTCTCAGGTCAAGCCCGTGGAATGAGTCTGTCAGGTAGTCTGTTATGTTTCCTATTTCCTCCACTGCCGTCATGTCACTTCCCTCGGCAAACAAACAACTCGGCAGTCTAACTCTACACCGACTGTCAAGGTAACGGCGTAAGGCTCGTGTGCGTGGAAGCAGGCGCAGAGCTTGCACAGCTGTGTAAAGTATTATCCATCTGCTGGGACCGAGGTGAGCAGTGATCACTTTAAATATCGTGTCCTCCGGAGGCACGGAGGAGGCTGACTGTCTGGTTGGTCCGGCGTCCATTGTATAGCCAGTGAGGGAGCGTCCAATCGCGTCACATTTGGAGGTCGACCGTTTGTGCTATATGACGTGTTTACTATAGGTCAAGAGGAAGTGGCTGATTTGAACTACGTGACTATCAAAGGCATATCAATATCTGGGACGGAGATGCCCTTTAACCTACATACTGTAGATATAGTGTGTTATGGTGTGTTTGAGTTAGCTTTTGTATTGTAGCTGCATGAGCAAAGTTATTATGAGTTTGACATATTGCTTACTTTACTATTATAAAATCTAATATATGCAGCTGCATATATCACAAGTCATTATTTGCAACTGGATGAAGCAAAGTTATCATTCCAAGTGATTCTGGAGGAATAATCTTGTGTTCCCTGTTAAGCCTTGCAAATAGAAAACAACAAACTCATTACAACATCCTCATCACAGTAAATGCAGTGAACTTTACACCAAATTAAACTAGTCTGTGCGACGGATAAAGACACACTTACATCAGTAAACACTAAATGTTGTTGGAGTGCATTTCCAGTTGGAGTGTGTTACAGCAGCATAATAACCTGTTTACAATTTGTACTTGGCCCTAAATCTGGCCAAAGGAGGAAAAGAAGGAGGGGAGGGAGAGACACACACACACATCTCAAAGCAAGGGATTATGGGTGCAGCTATTCTTCATCTCATTGTGGCTCAACAACAGGCAGAGTGTGGGGTGGCAGGCAGGCGTGTACGTCGCCGGACGAAGAATGGACCAGACTCGTCGAGGGACAGGTGCCATGTGGCAGAGGATGTGCGGGGACACAGATGGGGACCCCTGGAAAACTTGGGGGACTGTACGAGCAGCCAAGGGCCTCCCACCCGTACCTGTGCTGTGAATGCTGCAGCTGAACGGGATCCGGCACCTGTTCTAAGCAGATACAGGCGACCAGCAAAAGCACAGAGGGAGGCCAGCACATGGCTGCCAACCCGGGGAAGGAGAAGGCTAGATTTCCATTTACCCATAAGCGCAGCCTGATTACCAAATCGGCACAGGCTTTGCTGCAGTATGTACAAAACAGGATTGAGAAATGTGCTCTCTTCCAAAACTATGTGCATTTTTCTGCAAACTCCCCACTTTAATAGGAGCTTTCTAGTTGTGTGTTAAATGTTCTACTCAAAGTAGAAACAGCACTGAAAAGTCAGGATATATATAAAAAAATACCAGCGCAGATTTATTATTTTTAATAAAAGTGATACATATTTGTGGTGCATGCCCTATTTTTACAGCCTGGCCTGCATTGGTCTATTTCTCTCTCTTTCTATGATAGCATGGCTTGCATTGGTCTGTGTGTGCTGCAGCGCTATCTGGCTTGTTTTTGACTGCTGCAGATTCTCCCTGGGGTGGTGTAACTCTTCACCTCAATGTGGAGGAGGATGTTCCTATTGTGCTTCCTAATTGCAATGTGGTTGTTCCATTTAACAGATAGAACATCCTTATCTGTTCCGTGTGTGATCTCCTACTGTGGGAATAACTAGAAGAGGCATTATGTGTTTTGATTCATGTCTTAATATGGAGATAATTACAGTATTTCATGCAATGCTTTAATTTTCTGGCAACTCTGTTTAGGCCAGACTGGGGTGAGACATGCAGTTAGACGGCAAAGGATAAGGCTAATTCCTGCAAAGTTCGGAAAGTTTAAATTGGTCATAATTTAAGCTGTTGCATTTTCTTTTTATAAATTTATACTTGTGGGAAAGCATCAGCTAAAAACATGTCCGAGCATTAAGTGAGTTTGGTCTTTAAAAGGGCTTTGATCCTAAGTCCCTCCCCGTCTTTTCCATTTTAGTGGGCTCACATGCTGTCTCTGGCCCCGTCATCCAGCACCAACAGAGTTTACTCGGTGCGCATCCTGAAAAGCAGACACACTAATGATTTAGATGAGTGATGTTATAAGTTCAGCGGTGTGAGAAAGCCCCATTTAACAGCTACTGTGGAGGATATAGACAAAGCAAACCACCAGGCTGCCTGATGACAGAATGTGTGAGACACACTGAGTGCCATTAACATTAACATTTCAGCAAATATGATTCATAAAATTAGTGTGCACACACTGTAACAGTTATATCAGATTGCAAAGCAGATATGATCATTCCCCATGAGAGAAAGTTATTCATTGACTTGAATAACTTTATTATCCCACGGTGAAATTGATTTGCTTGGCAGAATGTTGGCTGACCAAATCAGTGGCAATAAAAAGGGCTCCTTGATAAACTTATTTCAACAGTAAACAGTGATTTAGATCTTAAATCATTGTCCTTGACCTATATTACGTTTTTGTAGCTTTTTTTCTTGTTGTTTCCCCAATTACAACACTTTTTACACGCATCATGAAATATCTTGTATCTGTGTATCTACAATCAAATGTATGTAAACAGATAGTGAATGTAGTGATGTCTGCCATTTCAATACAAAGTAAAATATGTTATTTTGTCTATATGTTGTGAATCTTCTCTTTCTCCGTTGTTGAAATTCCGATAAAAAAATTCCAGGCATTTTCCAATAAAGTAGCCAATACAACTTAAGAAGCTAATTTCAGATGTATTCATAAATTCCAGCTTGTTTCAGTAAGAATGCACAAGGTTTCAAAGATTTGTCTCCCAAATGTCCCTGATGTAAAATTACAGAAGGAACATTTTTTGGCAGTGTGAAAAGTGTTTTTTTTGGAATATCTTTTCACAAGATCTGTGTTGAACAATGTCCAAAGTCATATCTGGTCTTACACTAGGTAGAATACTTGCATAAAAAAATAACACAAGACTGTCTTATTTTGGAAGGAAACATCATAACTAATTTAATAAAGTACCCATAGTCCTTAAGGAACAAAACAATCACAAGTACTGCACACTGATGAACAGCCACATAGTAGTTAATATATGTGAATTTGCATAATGACCACTTTCTCTATGATTAGTTTGTTATTTGCCTAAAATGGTACAACCAATAACTAATCATTTCTTCCTTAACATTAGTTCCTGTTGTTACTACTTCACCCCCTCAAGTATAATATTGTGTTTTATAGAAGACCATTACTTAAAGTTGCATTCATCTATATTTTTATAATACTTTTAACTATGAATCAAATAACCACATTTATTGTGAAAGGAGCTGTGTGGAGCATTCGTTAATTGTGTTGATTTAAAAAAAAAACAACAATCTAGATAGCATATCCAACAAATCATGAAAAAGTACAATTTCCAGTGACGATACTGTTGTTAAAATACTGTCTGGTTTGTAGGCAAAGAGTTAGCCTGTCAAATTAAGTTGTATGTTTCTTTCTTCTTGTTTTTAGAAGGGCTTTAGCATCTACATTAGATGAATATGACACCCATCCAAACTTTAGACCCTTATTGAGAACAAGGAAAAACTCCCTAAAGAAGGGTGCCAAGAGTGGGCTGCTGGTGGGGACTGCAGTCATTCCGTCTGTCTGTGTCTTAAACCTGTTCTCTACCAGGACGTACAGTGGGTACGGAAAGTATTCAGTATTTAAATTTTTCACTCTTTGTTTCATTGCAGCCATTTTCCAAAAATCAAAAAAGTTCATTTTATTTCTCAGTAATGTACACTCAGCACCCCATTTTGACAGAAAAAAAACAGAAATGTAGAAATTTTGCAAATTTATTAAAAAAGAAAAACTGAAATATCACATGGTCATAAGTATTCAGACCCTTTGCTCAGTATTTAGTAGAAGCACCCTTTTGATCTAATACAGCCATGAGTCGTTTTGGGAAAGATGCAACAAGTTTTTCACATCTGGATTTGGGTATCCTCTGCCATTCCTCCTTGCAGATCCTCTCCAGTTCTGTCAGGTTGGATGGTAAACGTTGGTGGACAGCCATTTTCAGGTCTCTCCAGAGATGCTCAATTGGGTTTAAGTCAGGGCTCTGGCTGGGCCTTCAAGAACAGCCACGGAGTTGTTGTGAAGCCACTCCTTGTTATTTTAGCTGTGTGCTTAGGGTCATTGTCTTGTTGGAAGGTAAACCTTCGGCCCAGTCTGAGGTCCAGAGCACTCTGGAAAAGGTTTTCGTCCAGGATATCCCTGTACTTGGCCGCATTCATTTTCCCTCGATTGCAACCAGTCGTCCTGTCCCTGCAGCTGAAAAACACCCCCACAGCATGATGCTGCCACCACCATGCTTCACTGTTGAGACTGTATTGGACAGGTGATGAGCAGTGCCTGGTTTTCTCCACACATACCGCTTAGAATAAGGCCAAAAAGTTCTATCTTGGTCTCATCAGACCAGAGGATCTTATTTATCACCATCTTGGAGTCCTTCAGGTGTTTTTTAGCAAACTCCATGCGGGCTTTCATGTGTCTTGCACTGAGGAGAGGCTTCCGTCGGGCCACTCTGCCATAAAGCCCCGACTGGTGGATTGCTGCAGTGATGGTTGACTTACTACAACTTTCTCCCATCTCCCGACTGCATCTCTGGAGCTCAGCCACAGTGACCTTTAGGTTCTTCTTTACCTCTCTCACCAAGGCTCTTCTCCCCCGATAGCTCAGTTTGGCCGGACGGCCAGCTCTAGGAAGGGTTCTGGTCGTCCCAAACGTCTTCCATTTGAGGATTATGGAGGCCACTGTGCTCTTAGGAACCTTAAGTGCAGCAGAAATTTTTTTGTAACCTGGCCAGATCTGTGCCTTGCCACAATTCTGTCTCTGAGCTCTTCAGGCAGTTCCTTTGACCTCATGATTCTCATTTGCTCTGACATGCACTGTGAGCTGTAAGGTCTTATATAGACAGTGTGTGGCTTTCCTAATCAAGTCCAATCAGTATAATCAAACACAGCTGGACTCAAATGAAGGTGTAGAACCATCTCAAGGATGATCAGAAGAAATAGACAGCACCTGAGTTAAATATGAGGTACGGCAAAGGGTCTGAATACTTATGACCAGTGATATTCAGTTTTTTTTTTTAATAAATTTGCAAAAATTTCTACATTTCTGTTTTT